TGTCAGCGCAGAGATTTATTATTCTCTCGGGTCAAACATTCAGGTCCTGTTTGCTGTCAGCGCAGAGATTTATTATTCTCTCGGGTCAAACATTCAGGTCCTGTTTGCTGTCAGCGCAGAGATTTATTATTCTCTCGGGTCAAACATTCAGGTCCTGTTTGCTGTCAGTCCGGAGATTCATTATTCTCTCGGGTCAGACCTTCACGTCCTGTTTGATGTCAGCGCAGAGATTCATTAATCTCCCGGGTCAAACCCTTAGATCCTGTTAGTCTGCTGTCAGCGCGGAGATTATTTAGTCTCATGGGTCACGCTGCTGACCTAGATCGCCATGCACTTAGACCAAACTCCCTCATCAAGCCCTCACATGCACACCGGAAAGGAAAAGAAGACAGAAAAGATCATGAGAGACCCTGCGTAGAACCATCATAAAAAATGGACACCCAAGACCTAAAATAGACGGCAACGAACCTCTAGACATGGAGAGCTATGACCTCTTCCCTCTGCGCCGCTCTAGGTTCAAAAGGCAAGACATAAGCTGATCTCGCATGGTGCATTGCTTAGGACAAACTAAGCTACAGGGGCGAGGAGAAGAAAGACACATGAAATGTTGCAGCTAGAGGTGCATAATAAGATGGTCAATTGGACACAGAGAACTGAAGCTTCCTCTAGAACAGCAAGACTAAAACAAAATATATGAAACACGCATTTAAAGTTACAACTAGAACAGCATGAAGCAAAACATAAGATATACGCAGTTAAGTTACATTTAGAAAGACATCTAAACAATACATTTATGACATACACATTTAAAGTTACATCTAGAACAGCAGCATTCAAACAAAACATGTGTCATACGCTTTCAAATTTAAAATTAGAACAGCAACATTGTAACAAAACATACCCCATACGCTTTCAAAGTTACATCTAGAACATCAATGTTAAAACTAGACATATGACAGTCTCATTTAAAGTTACATTTAGAACAGCGATGTTAAAACATGACACATGACATACGCTTTTAAAGTTTGAGAACATAAATATTACAGTTATACATATGGCACGCACATTTAATGTTACATTTTAGAACAGCAATTTTGAAACAAGACATATGGCATTCGCTTTTTAGAGCTTCATTTAATTCAGGAATGTTAAAACTAGACAAATGACAGACGCATTGAAAGGTACTTTCAGAACAGCAATATTAAAACAGTATTTAGGACATACCAATCTAAAATTACATTTAGAATAGCAACATTGAAGAAATGACATGAGACGCGCATTCAAAGTTACTTCTAGAAAGGCAACATTAAAACAAATCATATCAGATGCGCATTTAGAATTTTTTTTTTTTCGAAAACGAATAGACAGCGATTAGAAAAAATACCCTGAAAATGCAATAAACTAAACGGCGTGAGTAAATTGTGACCCAAAGAGGTAAAGTTATACACGTATATACAAGTTTTACAGAATAACTAGAATTGGCTTTTAACATAATATGTTCTGTGTTGGTTCATATGCTATATAGGGTATATAGTAGACCCCCTGCTCCTTAACAAATAAGTCTTAAAAGGCGACTAATTAAGGATATGCTTAAAATAATATACGCAAACATAAAAAAAAATTCAGACAAATAAATTAAAGAGAGTTTACAAACTACTGTCCTAAATACAACATATCAAGACACAATTTTTAGCCAAGAGAAACATCGGTGCAAGTCAACATTTCCGGGTCGCTGAGTGAACTATAAAAGACAGTGAAGTTTATACTAGAGACAACTTTGCGGTATAGATAATTTACTTCAAGGAAACGAAAGAAGAAGAAGAAGTTTACAGTCTGAACTTGAAGGGTTGAAGTGGCATCTGGGAAAGTAGTATGTCATGAGCCCGTATTACGTTAAACTGACTTTGACTACCTGTAGCTCTTCCATGGGTTCAGTATAAATTCAGAACGGGAATTTCCGCATAATACATGTTCTACATACATAACGCATCTCTTAAACATAAATTTCCCATGGACTTTTATACGATCCAAGTCAGATATATAACCCATCGATGATATTAGCGAGTCTTTTGAAAGCTATACTGGAGGAAAGATCAGAGGCAAGAGAGCAAGAGTTAGACAGCGATACACGTGGGATGACAATATCAAGAGATAGACGAACAGCAGTCTGAGAGAGTGTACCACCAAGATGACAGACAGAGCGTGAAGGAGATATATTCTAGCCAATCGTCACTGTGGAGTTATCACCTAACGTTTGTGTGTGTGTGTATATATATATATATATATATATATATATATATATGTGTGTGTGTGTATGTGTGTATGTATGTGTGTGTATGTAAGAGAGAGAGAGAGAGAGAGAGAGAGAGAGAGAGAGAGAGAGAGAGAGAGAGAGAGAGAAAGAACTATCTAACTGTTGTATATTTCTGCATTATTTTACATGTTTATTGATCGAGTTCATCAGATGAGTTAAATTGCTATGAATTTATTACCCCCAGTTGTCACCAGCGACGTCAACGATGAAACAAAAACCTGTGTGTCATCCGGTGCAGGCGCCCGTCGTTCCTTCGATGGTAAAAGCTACAACTGCAATGAAACTTGTGGATTTCCTGAGCTTATTATCCCAGGCAAGCTGGAGGTTCATACTGTCACCCAGTGCAATAAGTTTGACAAATGCAAATGTACCAAGGTGTGTTTATTTCTTATTTATGTAACAAGGGATTGTTTGATTGTCTATATGGTAAACGATTTTAGTGATGTTTCGGTCATATCGGTGCCGCTTAGCCATTGAAAACACTAGTTATTATTATTATTATTATTGTTATTTTTCCCCTTATGCGTTCTGGGGCCCTATTAAACAGGAGAAGCACACTGAAAGCACACGAAGTCTTGTTAACTGACATAGGACTGGTACTATTACCCCCACGACGCTGATGAATACATTGAGAGGGGAATCTGAGCGACTATGGATGTGTCCGGAGTACTGTGATGATAATCTAACTCATAACTCATACTATACTATGTGTTCTTTGCACGTTCAGGAACTTACCATCGTTGTTACTACTATATCAAGCTGTTAACTCATTGGATCCCGATCAACTCGCCATGTCTTTAATAGTTACTTTTTTATGATTTGCCTTTGCTGAATGTTTTGTTTCCCCAAGTAGCTGTTATAATAACGTGTAAAAACCCGAATGTTACTTTAACTCTTTTGGTGCCTTACTGTGGCTAATTTAACCCATCTGAATTTAAACAAATATTATTGTAGGTAAAATATGAATCAGCGATTTTAGTGACACCTGCCTGGGACTAGAAGAGTTAGGATCCTTACACAAAGCACGAACACCGCAGATCCATGAATGAACGATCCGTGTAAGTGTCCTTGAAAAGTGCAGTCGTGAAACAAACAATGCAAATTGTGAGACGACCACCAGAGAGCGAGACAAAACTTTTAACCGCTTTCTATTTGAAATACTCCCCCCCCCCCCCCCCCCCCCCCCCCGTTTTTTCACATTTTCTACTTTGATGTTTGTTGTAGTAGTAGTCGTAGTAGTACTTTTACCCCACGTGAACATCACACAAGCGAATAATACCCGATGACACAAAGTGCCACTAAGTGGATGAGGATCACCCGTGGAGAGGTCCCAGATACCGCGTTCAGTCGTTAGACCATATTTATGGTCGGGCTATATTGCGGCCCCTGGCAAGAGCCAAGGTGGGACTTCAAAACAACGAACAATTGCATCTCACAAGGAGATGACTAGACTTGTAAGAAGTTTGTTTGTTTGTTACACTTGAAATTACCTCAACACAATATATGTATAGGGTGTTGCCATGGTGTAGCTGGTAGACGCTCGCCTGTGGATCAGATGGTCGTGGGTTCGAGTCCTGACTGAACCGAGCTTTCTTCAAAAAATGACCTTGGCTCCCAGGTCGACCCAGCCTTGAGTTGGAACCGGGTGCAGTCCTGGTAATAATTGGCGGCCCGCGTGATGCTAACCACATCACCCATCAAATGCCGTTTGGTCTAAAAATATAGGTCTAGCCCTATATGCCCAATACGCCTTAAGGGTCCTTTACTTTACCTATATATATATATAAGAAGAAACACGACGAATGAAATGTGTCAGTCACATTATAAAACATAACATTCATAAAACCTACAGTGGGAACAACTGAGGATAAGACATGCAAGGAGTAGCCATTGAAACAACTGGAAGAGAAATATCAAAAGATGGACAAACGAAAATCTGATAGTGTAAATAATTAGAGCGAGAAAAGATAGGGATGGAGAATCAAAACATCCAAGCGTCATATCGAAAAACCTTAAATTGTACAGACGGCAACTGATTGATTTAATGGCAGCCGTCGGTAAGAAAATGGCTGTCAGCCGCACCTTGCAGATCTTCTTCTTCTTCTTCTTCTTCTTCTTCTTCTTCTTCTTCTTCTTCTTCTTCTTCTTCTTCTTCTTCTTCTTCTTCTTCTTCTTCTTCTTCTTCTTCTTCTTCTTTTTCTTCTTCTTATTATTATTATTATTATTATTATTATTATTACTATTATTATTATTATTAGCATTGTTATTATTACTATTATTATTGGTGTTGTTGTTGTTGTTATTAATATATTATCAAAGTTCATGCAGTGTGGCGCTGATTTTCACGTCTGTACACAACCTTCTTTCCCGTGTACTTTAATCAGTTGTGACACAGATGATCCACCTTGACCTGATGTCAAACTTCTCGGTATATTTTTTTTTTTCTCCGTCTCTCTCTGCCATTTTTCCATTCAGCTTCCCCACTATCACGATACACTCTCATGACATAAATAAATAATGTAGACTCTCTGGTGTGGAAAATCATTTCTCTTCGTGAGTCAGTTTCTTTCATATCTACCCTGTAGGCAAATCCGATATGGTATTTAATGAAAGAAGATGTTTCAGGCAGTACCCGTTATTTAAAATATCTAGAATCTCAAAGTTGTTGATGAATTGAATCTTTCAGGATGTGTACATCCGTACATCAAAGGCTGCTCTTGCCATCAGTGGCCGGACCTTAGTACTAGTCCTCGATGGTTCAGACCCTGTAACGTATAACTTCACAGACTTCAAAACATCAGCTAAAATTGGTGACAGTAAGTAAAAACAAAACAAAAAATCTAAAGCTATGTTAAAATTAGAATGTTATCAAATGTCAGTGTTACTTTTTGTGAGCAAAATCATCTGAAATACGATTTATTCTAGGCCTGTTTCTGCTGATTATGTTGGAAAATATCTTTACCTGTTTGCACTGTTTTGCTATAATCCATACCAAGTAAGGTTGTGTGCAGTACTGGACTCAAGAATAAGCTAAAAAAGCTACAGCCTAGGACTTCAGTCTGTAGGCGCCTTAACATATTCCTATTTTTTTTTTTCACAAATGTAATTGTCTTTTAATAAAATAGCTAAGAGGCTTATATAATATAATTTATGTGGTTCTGTAAACATATTCTTTATTATTGCATTAATTAAAAATTAGACGACAGAACATTTCCACTATCCCTATATTAAGAAGGCATGTATATAAGTGTTCTGAGCTTAGCTTGGGTAATTTAAAAAAAATGAGCCTCAGGGTTCTATATAGATTAAGGCCTTATCAAGTCTAAATCCAGTGCTGATTGTATGTCTGTTTATAGAAATGTGTCCAGCGACATTTCTCGCATTGCTGACATAGATAATCCTTCTTGCTAACTCGTTGGCAGTAAGTGCTGCCTGATTGCTTTTCTATCTGAACTTCCTTGCAACGTCTTCATACAGTCTATGCCAGCTGGCCTTTGTCCACTACTTTCTCCTTCTATCTCATGTATTGCCAATCGAGGTTGATATAGATCAACTTTCATGCCATGCTGTTCAACTGGCTAACATTAATTTTGTTTTTTAAATCTCCCTGTGCTCAACTCCTGGGTAAATGTTTTTAAATCCCGCCGTGCTAAACTCCTGGGTATGTCTTTAAATCTCCCCGTGCTCAACTCCTGTGTAAATGTCTTTAAATCTCCCCGTGCTCAACTTCTGTGTATGTCTGTAAATCTCCCCGTGCTCAACTCCTGTGTAAATGTCTTTAAATCTCCCCGTGCTCAACTCCTGTGTAAATGTCTTTAAATCTCCCCGTGCTCAACTCCTGTGTAAATGTCTTTAAATCTCCCCGTGCTCAACTCCTGTGTAAATGTCTGTAAATCTCCCCGTGCTCAACTCTTGGGTCAATGTCTGTAAATCTTCCCGCGCTCAACTCTTGGGTCAATGTCTTTAAATCTCCCCGTGCTCAACTCTTGGGTCAATGTCTTTAAATCTCCCCGTGCTCAACTCCTGGGTAAATGTCTTTAAATCTCACCGTGTTCAACTCCTGGGTAAATGTCTTTAAATCTCACCGTGTTCAACTCCTGGGTAAATGTCTTTAAATCTCCCGGAGCCAAAATCCTGTGTAAATGTCTTTAAATCTCACCGTGCTCAACTCCTTTGTAAATGTCTCTAAACTACCTCGTGATCAGCTCCTGTGTAAATGTCTTTAAACTTCCTCGTGCTCAGCTCCTGTGTAAATGTCTTTAAACTTCCTCGTGCTCAGCTCCTGTGTAAATGTCTTTAAATCTCCCGGAGCCCAACTCCTGTATAAATGTCTTTTAATCTCCTCGTGCTCAGCTCCTGGGTAAATTTATTCATTGTTTCAAAAGACTCCAGTTCAACTCTCTGATGACATGATTCAACTCTCTGATGACATGACATTCCCGTGTGGGTTCTGGGGTCCCATTGTTTAAAAAGAAAGACCAATGGGTCGTACAAGCATGTCGTAAAACTCAACTAGTTAGGGGTATTTTCTACAAGGTCAAAGTGCATATGCCTCAGAGGCAAGGAAAGAGTCTGCATACAAATGAGCATTATATGTAAGACGCATTTACAGGCAAAACTCCATATCAGGAATAAAACTAGAGCCCAGTAGTGAACGAACAACAACATCTTTACACCGGTGTTTACATCCTATGAACGCGAAGAAAATGACAAAATAGAGAACATGCTCAGAATGCGCTTTGTCCACTCGTTATGGAAAGCAGAAGAGGCTGTCCAATTCTCTTTGTTAGGTTAATTTTGTTCCTGGTATATTGATAACGTTTTCTATATGACGTTGATGTTCTCATAATCCTTTGATGAGATACAAACCCTGCAGCTTTCTCTAGCTTTCTGTTGTGATTTACTTCCATATATCAGCACTGGGTCTAAATGGCTTTTAAAAGCTTCCTTTTACATAGCAGTTCACGACAATCGGAGATATTCTGAAGATCATACATGAGCGATTGTAGATAGAATACACGAGACTGATAAAATAACAGGTGAAAGAATGAGTGAAGAGTTAGGAATGGATCCCGCAGGGAGAGACGTGTGAGAGGAAGTAAAGAACGACATGTGCATATTCAGTCTGCAATTGCAACAGTTAGCATCTACACGTTAAGACATTGTCTGCGGGAAACGCAGGATATGTGGGTATGCCCGGTGTGCTATGATTTCGATACTTAAATCAGTATTCTGTCATCAGTGATCGTACAATAAATTGCAAAAAATATTTGTTCAGCCTGCGAAATGAATCGTTTGTTAGAGCTATTCTGAGTTTAACTTTGTTAATACATTTATCTGCTTTTTACTAAGGTGCCAAACACTTTAAGGCAATCTGCGCATGCTAACTGAAATAATTATTTAACTTTAATTTTATAAGCCAAAAGGTACCTATTGTACGTATGCATTATTTACTTATATGTCTACTCATATGTAATCTCCTAAGTACGCTCTGCCCTTAACTCATATCTACAGAATTATCTGATTTGAGTAACTTTTTGTGATCTCTTATAGTTACAATAAACTACGACGAAAACAGAGGATCCCTTTATATTACAATTGTAATTGAAAATGAACCAGTACGTATTCGCCGTGATGATAACGGACCAGTACTTATCTCAATGAAAACAAGTTCTCAATTTGCCGGGAAAACGGAAGGAGGATGCGGCAATCTGAACAGTAACGTACAAGGTCAGATGTGTATATTTATGTCCTGCTTCTGGTTTTGTGCCTGTTTAAAATACTGACCTCTGATAATGTGAAGAGAACAAACGTACATGCTATTATTATTGTTTATTTTTTATATCGGTATCAGTGGCTTAGGTATTGCAACAGGGCTTCGTAATGCCGGGGTGCCGAGTAGGATATTTGACAGCTGACCGCCTTGCGTTGGTTTTAAAACAATCTGTAAAAGAATCTTTTCCACGCCTTTAGGCGTATAGGGCTAGACCTATACTTTATAGACCAATCGGCACAAAATGGTTGATGTGGTCAGCATCACGCCGACTGCCTTTACTTCCCGGGACTGCACACGGTATCCACTTAAGGTTGGGTCGACCTGGGAAAAAAAGTCATTTTAAAAAATGTCTGGCTCCACCAGGAAGCGAACCACGACCTTCCGATCCGCAGGCCAGCGTCTAGCCATTCCGCCATGGAGACTGCCTCTTCAATATGTAGCAATGTGATCAATCACCACACGGGCTAGGTGTAAGGCGATTCGAAATGAGGCAAAGAGTTCATAAGAAGAAGACGACTGAGAGAGAGAAAAAGAGAGAGAGAGAGAGAGAGAGAGAGAGAGAGAGAGAGAGAGAGAGAGAGAGAGAGAGAGATAACGAACGAACGAACGAACGAACTTTATTTTCAAAGGGTTACAAATTAGGCACGCAGGCCTCTCTTACATTCGACCCTTCCAAACTTCCATCTTTCACACAGCAGTTGTATTTCATCAATAAAGCATGTTTTATTCATGTAATAATATGCATATTATGTATATGAAGTCAAAAACAAAAGCATGGCTGAGAAATATCAAAAGATGGACAAACGAAAATCTGATAGTGTAAATAATTAGAGCGAGAAAAGATAGGGATGGAGAATCAAAACATCCAAGCGTCATATCGAAAAACCTTAAATTGTACAGACGGCAACTGATTGATTTAATGGCAGCCGTCGGTAAGAAAATGGCTGTCAGCCGCACCTTGCAGATCTTCTTCTTCTTCTTCTTCTTCTTCTTCTTCTTCTTCTTCTTCTTCTTCTTCTTCTTCTTCTTCTTCTTCTTATTATTATTATTATTATTATTATTATTATTATTATTACTATTATTATTATTATTAGCATTGTTATTATTACTATTATTATTGGTGTTGTTGTTG